CCATATGCATACCTGTGTCTGTCGAGTTTCATGCAATTTCAAGCATGCTAAGAGTCTCAAAAGCATCAAACAAGAATATTAAAGTTTGATGTGTTGCCACGGCAACAGTATCTAAGATATCAATAATCCTTTCACAGGTCTACATCTGGCGTGTGTTTACATTATACACATAAAGTTTGAAGCAAATCGGGTAAAAATAAGAGGGTGATTTCAAAGCATTTAGGAAGTGACACACTTCCTGCTGCCAGTTGGTGGCGCTATAATTTTGACTCACAATAGTCACATCCATGTGATCGGGCTCTTACAACGAACACACTGTTGAAGTTTCATCAAGATCAGTTAATGTATGCAGTAGTTATGACACACTTCCTGTTTCACGTTTCTCGCCATAATTTTGTTTCCTCGCCACGGCCAAACCGTTCGAGATATCAAAAATCCCCTCGCAAACTTTCATCCTCAATGTCTTGACTTCATGCTGACCGAGTTTCGTGCCGTTTGTTTGAATTCTCTAGGAGGAGTATTTCACATTCCATTGCGTGTGTTTTACCAACAACCCTAAATAGCCGACTTCCTGTTGGGCTGGGGTAAAAAGTAAGAGTGTGAAGTATATATGAAACGAGGAGATCTACATGTGTACCGAGTTTCATATTATTACATGCAAGCGTGTTTGATTTATGGACCATGTTTTCGGACCCCGTTCCAGGGGGCGCTGTCGAGCCCCCCTGCCACGCCCGGGTACCATCTTCAGCCCGGCCCTGATGGCCGCGGGTTCTGACATGTGTGCAAAGTTTCAGGAGTTTTTGAGCATGTTAAGGCCTCCAAAAGTGTCCAAAAGGTAGCAGAAAAATAATAAGAAGAATAATAAATAATCCTAAGGAAAACAATAGGGCCTTCGCCCTTTGGGCTTGGGCCCTAATAATAATAATAATAATAATAAATAATCCTAAGGAAAACAATAGGGCCTTCGCCCTTTGGGCTTGGGCCCTAAATATCTGAAGGGCTTTAAATGTAGTCACGCAATGCAGATGTTGTTAACATTACAATTTGAGAACAAGGTATGATTTGCACGGTTTGACGTGATATGATAAGCGATCTTTAGATTTAATCAGCACGATTTAAAGTTACTGCAATGATTTTTTTCCCTTAGTTGGTCAGAACAAAAGTGGATGTTACTTACTTGTTCAGATGACATTTTCCGGTGAAAATTATTATCTTGTATTATAATTATTATTATTATGTCATACTTCCAAAAAGTAGAATCTGTGATTGTGAATGACAGTATCCACCATAGACTGTAAAAAAAGAGTGTATTTGCTCAGCCCTACAATATTATGTGTTTTAAGCAACTGTTTGGATAGGGTACCTTTATCGACAGAAAACAAATCATTTGTTATATAGCTCAACACGGTTAGTCTTATTGTTTGAATCTCTTGTTTTCTTGATTTACCGCGAGTAACATGTTTGTACCCAAAAAGTAAATCAGACAACATTATTTTGTCAAGTGGCTAACATAACATAATCAGAAAGAGCTTTATTTGTAGTTACAGGAATACAGCATTTTATCTACCACACAATGTTTTAAAATGAATTGCATGCCATTTAGCAACTCAAGTCATCCAGCTTTTATTAATATGATATTCTGTTATCGATCTAGCTTACTGCAATGTGCATCAAGTGTCTCATAGCTGCCACCGCTATCTCAACACATTAACATTATAACATAACTTTCAACTCACTCAAATGTATTTTTAGTATGATTATTTTGACCAAGTAAAACAGCGCTGTGTTACCTCACAATTTTAATTTGTCATATAAAGTAAACTGTATGAGTAGTAATTCAGCACTTAAGGGTGGTTCATTAGAATGAAATAAGATAATGTTTAAGTGATCAAGAATAACTGTAAGAAAGTTAAGGTAAGAAGGAGACGAACATTAAACATAACTTTAATTGTAAAATATGCATAAATAACAAAACGAAAGGAGTGGAATTGGGGCCAACTGCGGCATATAAGCATAATAAAAACAGCAACGTAAAATGTCCCTGGCTTGTCGGCACCGATGGCCTCGTGGGCAGCCTGCCAACATGTAGCGTTGTTGCGCTTCAGGCGACCCGAGTTTGAGTCCTGGCTCGTGGACCTTTCCTGATCCCATCCCCCTCTCTCTCTCCCACCTCGCTTCCTGTCCACTTTGTACTGTACTATCATAATAAAGGCAAAAATCTGCAAAAATAAATATTTTTTAAAAAAATGTCCCGGCTTTCGGCCCCGCCCAGCTTCATACTATAGTAACGTTAATAAAACATTAAATACATTAGCCCACCCATGAACACCATTTCTGCCTGATTCCCGTCAGATTGCTTTGTTATTGTTTTGAATAAGTGGTCTCTAGCAGTGAAACTTACATACTGTGCCTTTAAAATATGAATCTATTTATTTTTACTTCATTATCAAAAGAAATGTAGCAAATTAGCTCTATGAAATATTAATAATCAATCATAACTTGTTATAATTGATTATGAATATTTGGATCAGTTAATCGGGTTAACTTGATGTAGCTACATTAACATTACAACCAATTACTCGGTTCATCCCGTGGACACTCAACATTGGTTATTAATTAATAGAAATGTACATTTCCGGGGCATGGGAAATGTCTTTCTTACTAAGTACTACTAAGAGCAAGTAGTCAAGATCTATGAGTATTGACTCCAGATATGAGCTTGAGACACAGACAACTTTACTTACGTGTGATATGAAAAAGACTTTATTAATTAGACTGAACATTTAAACTACTCCAACATACACACACATACATACATACATACATACATACATACATACATACATACATACAGTTTACCAAGGGAAAGAGAGCTGAAGCAGAATACAGGAAAGCAAGAAGTTATAGCATTGTTTGATGTTCAGCAGATCAACAGCCTGAGCAAACCATCAGTTTAGTTCTAACACGCCCTTCTTAAAAAGGGGTAAGGATACTTAATGTATCAAATAATGAGACTAAGTTTGATACTTGCATGTCTCGTCCATTTGCATTAAACTGTCCTGATGCAATTTGTTGAGGCTCCAGTTGATCTTTGCTGATGTGGTCTTGATGAGAGAGAACCTTCTTATACATTCTTATAATACTAATGCGTAATAAAGTTAGCAAAATGTAATGTAAATTAACAAATGGGTTGGAGATTGGAGTTTATAGAGACTAAACATGCTACACATAGGATTTTGGTTAACCATAGTATGCAAGTCATGTTTCAGACCAAAATAGTTTAGAAGAGAGAATGAAGACGTAGGCCAAACCACATAAAAGGAAAATTATGAGATGGAAAATTAGATACATGTTAAGACATTTATCATATGGTTATATATATACAGAATATATAGGATTAAAATGGTTCATTTCTTCTTCTCAGCAAGAATTAGGAGACAATTGGCTTTATGCACAGCTTCACTACTTCCTGAACTTCAGCCAGCCCTTTGTTTCCTGTCTGTCATTATTGGACAAACTGATTAATCCAGGTGTGCCTGGCCTCAGTAACAATAATCAGGCACACCTGGACTAATCAGTTTGTCCAATAATGACAGACAGGAAACAAAGGGCTGGCTGAAGTTCAGGAAGTAGTGAAGCTGTGCATAAAGCCAATTCCCTGCACATTCTTATGGGTCGTAAAACTGTGTCCTGTAACAGGACACCGAGTTCTGCCAGTGTGTTGGCTTGATTTGGGGGAAGTCTCACAGACCTTTGTTGGGATAGTGAGTTTGCTGGATTATCCATTAAATATAATGAATAATTTGTGTGTGTCTGATTGGTCCAGACACTACAGAAAATATCAATAATAGAGTTTCATACCATAATAATACAGTATCATACATATTTACTAATGATGGGGCACTTGATGGGGTAATATCCAAACTTATTCATAATGCAAGAATCTCAGTCTGAGTAGTAATAAATCTAAAATATTTATTGCTAAAGTATTATATAGTGCTATATAATAAGTATTTATTATTATATTCTCTTAAAATTAAACTGAGCAGAACAATATGAAATATATGACATATGCGCCTACTGAAGTGGTGGTGTACACAGTAGTTGATGAGAACTAGTCCTCTGGTTTTCATCATGAGAATAGTCTTCCAATCCATAGCCCAATCTCAACTCTTGGTCTCTGTCATTTATTTGAAGCCATAACATCTGCCTAAATATATGCACTGAAAGCCAGAGATGCAGAAGAGAGAAGTAATAGAAAATGTATTCCATGCAGCCTAGGCTGAAATGGTCAGTGTTGCTTCTCTGTCCTCAAAGAGAAGCTCAGATGAAACAGCTGTAGCTTATCATCTCTAAAAAAATTCAGACCTTGAAGAGGGTGTAGTAGAGACTTTCTATTTATCAAAGAATCCTGAAAAAAATAGCACTCTTTCCACAAAAATATTAAGCAGCACAACTGTTTTCAACATTGATAATAATATAAGATGTTTTTGAGCCCCAAATCAGCATATTAGAATGATCATTTGACACTGAAGATTGGAGTAATGATGCTGAAAATTTAGATTTGCCATCACAGGAATAAAATACAGTTTAAATATATTCCAACAGAAAACAATTATTTCACAATATTACTGTTTTTACTGTATTTATGATCAAATTAACACAGCCGTTGTGAGCATAAACATCTTTCAAAAACATTAAAAAAATCTTACAGACAATTAACTTTTGATACATATTGTATCAAATATATCAGAACACTTAAGATGTAATACAACAGAACAATACATAGGAAATAAGCATAAAATCTGGTGATCTGATAAACTACAGACAACTACAGACTCCCATTAACCCATTAAGTTATGCGTTGTGACATAAAATATTGAAATCATCTTATAAATAACATTAAACTTATAGAAATAGAGCTGTAAACTTACCATAGCACAGATAGTAGTTTAATGTAATTGTTTAATAGTTTTTGTCATAGTCATTTGTTGTTCTAGGGGTGCAATTTCAGCAAGAGGACAAAGGGGTGGAAGACCATTTGTATTAGACAGAGGGGTAAGAAGGGCAATCTTTATTTAAAAAAAAAAAAAAAACATTATACACGACTTACACATGGATTGACCTTCCTGTTACAATGTTTTAAACCTACAGTTCTGTGCTTTGTCTTTGTTTCTTCAGTTTTCTGCCACAGAAATGGCTGAGAAATTGCAAAAGTATCAGAAAATAAGAGGGTGAGTTTCTTTACGTGTGAATATTCTAAAAAGTACTCTCAAGGTGTGTTGACAAATTGTTTTTCTCTCTGTGTGTCTGTCACATCCACATCCAAACACACACTGAAGTCAAAGAACAGCACCATCTGGCTCAACACTGACAGTTTCCCTGCCAAATGCTAAATCTGCACCTGTCACTGTGTGAGTGAATGAACTTTCTCGCTGGCTTCTAATTCACTGGTTTATGTCCTTCTTTGTTTAGCTTTTCTTTGTGTGTCTCTCTTGCTTTTTTCACTCCATCAGGAAGACACCTATTCAGGCTAGGAGGGGTGGGGTAGTGTTAAGAGGCAGATCTTCTAGAGGAGCCGGTACTTCTTTACCTAAGGGGATTCCTCTGCAATTTAACTACAAAGCGACCACTAACCAGGTGAGTTTAGCCATCCGGCAAAGCCTGTACACCCGGTAAAGTAGGAGAGTCAGACATTTATTACATTTTATTGGCCTTGTGTGTGTAAAGACAGTAAAGTTTTATTATTTTTCCATAAACTTACACAATTAAATTGTTCATCAGTTTTTAGAGCCTCCGTTTTTACTTTGTTTCGCAGACTGCCGTATCCCTCAATGACCGATTCACTGACCTGAGTTTCAGTGGGCGAGGATGGGGAAGGGGCGGTGGAAGAGGAAGAGGAGCTGTTGGAGGAGGCGGAGGAAGAGGAAACGCTGTTAGGGGTGGACGAGGCAGAGGGAGAGGAAACATTATAGGTGCTGGAAGAGGCAGAGGAAGAGGAAACATTGCGGGGGCTGGAAGAGGGAGAGGAAGAGGAAACATTATAGGTGCTGGAAGAGGAAGAGGAAACATTGCGGGGGGTGGAAGAGGCAGAGGAAGAGGAGGGGTTGGTGTGACAAGAGGAGGACGAGGCTTGACAAGAGGGAGGGGAGAATCAAGAGGAGCTGGTCGAACAGTAATTCTTCAGTGATTCGAATAACAATCGTTCAATTTAATGAATGAGTGGTGTTTACTGTTAGTGATGCACCAATATTTCGGCAACCAAAATTATTTTTAAATTATTTGAATTTGAAACAGCCCAAACATAAAAAAAATAAAATAAAAAAAAAATCAGTTTTGACCAAAATAGTTTTGGAGGGCTTTGCTATCACAGGACTAAATTAAAGTTTAAAATATATTAAAATATAAAAAATATTTTAAATTGTAATAATATTATAATATCGCCTGTAATAATATTACAATTTACTGTATTTTTCATGAAATAAATGCAGCCTTGGTGGGCATGAGAGAATTCTTTCGTAAACATGAAAAGATCTTACAGACCCCAAACTTTTGAACAGTAGAGTATATCATAGAGAAAAATATCAAATATATCTGAATTCATCAGGTATAATCAGAAACTGAAACAGTGATTATTTCCTACGAACAACATGGATAAGGTACAACAGTTACAACATTGCTGCAAAATGGATGCTCTTCATCATGAACAAAAATAATGTTAGCGTAACAAAATGTAAAAAATTTAGACTGATATATCAAGAGTTGGCTCGTTGCTGAAGAAGTTTATGGCGACTGGTTTAATTTATCGCCTAACCATGACACCCTGAGCAGCATAAGGAGTTTAATTACCAAGATTTAATCAACAAAACTTTATTTTCGATTTCAGTTTTGGTTTTCAGCTAAAGGAAAACGTCTTGGTTACTTATGTAACCCTCGTTCCCTGAAGGAGGGAACGGAGACGTAGTCGACGTGTCGACCGATTGGGATCACGCTTAGAGAGCCTGTCATCTTCGAGTACTGTTAAAACGAGCCAATGTAATTGGCGTACCTGAAATGCATTACACACTCCGCCCCCGTGGCACGGGAATAAATACGGAAGTGGATGCACGCACTAGTTGTTTTTCGCTGAGGAGCCGAGCGTAACTCGGAGTCAGCGGTGGTCCAGCAATAGTGGCGACGGGACTACGTCTCCGTTCCCTCCTTCAGGGAACGAGGGTTACATGAGTAACCGAGACGTTCCCTTTTAGTCGCTCACGTTCGACGTAGTCGATGTGTCGACTGATTGGGATCCCAATTAAAACGCCATCTAGTGCTGCCACCTTCCAGTGCCTAGACAAAAGCCTCCAGATCCCCCCGCAAATTAAGGCGGGGAAGGGACAGGGCTTAGGCAGGGAAGTCACTGCTGCTCCTACTGGAGGGAAAGCGTTCCCTGAACAAAGAAAGGGACGCTGCGGAAGCCACATCCTGCCCAAAGGGAGGTAAAATGTGGAGAATGCACATATGAACTGGGGGGATGACCGGGCAGTACAACATATGGAATGTCACTGGGGTGGTTCCAGCCTATGACAGTGGGGAGACTCAACCGAACAGTGACGGCAGACCAGGCTCTGCCAAAGGAAGACACGGGCTCGCCGCAGGGAGCCGTACCGTGGAAGAATACACATATGGGATCGCCGTAGGGATCACAGCATATGGACCCAGCCTAACACAGGTTCCACCAGAGCATACGAGTGATAGGCCTGGCTTCAGACGTTACGCCACGTCCGTTGCCAAAGGGTATGGAGGAACTCGACAGGGTTCGGCTAAAAAGGGGAACTCAACTGGAGCAAGAATTGCACATGTATCCAGTCCATAGGAGGAGAATGGCGCAGCAAGCCGACACAACGAACCGGGCTTACAGTGAAACTGGCTTCACGTGAAGGGAGCCCACGGGAAGCAGCGGTTCGACTAAGGTGTCGCCCAGCCCCCAACTCTAGAATATCTGTCAGTGAAGCACTCTGTGTCAACGCCTAGGCGGGAGCACACACTCATTTAAGAGGAGCTCACCACCTAAGTGGACATGTGCATCTCGGGAATTTCACCAAGATGAAGGCAGCCACATTTCAGTGGGCCAACCTCGCTTGGAAACAGCCTTCCCTCTCTGCTGATTTCCTTAACAGATATTTGAGCTGGTCTGAGGTCCTAAGGCTTGCGTTCTGTGCACGTATAACCGCAATGAGGCGGACGGACAAAGAAAGCCAGGGCTGGGTCTGCCTCCTCCAGGCAGCGCTTGCAGGCTCACCACCTAGTCCCAGTTAAGGGAGAGGTAGGAACCTTGGGCACATATCCAGGCCGGGGTCTCAGCTCGTGAGGGTTGGCGGCACAAGTCCTTGACCGAAAGCGAGCAAGTCCCTACCCTCTAGTAGAGACCATGCGAGCAGGAGAACTGTTTAAAAACAGAATTTTTAACTCACTGCCTGCAGTGGCTCAGGGGCGGTCTCTGCATTGCAGTAGCACCAGAGATAGGCCCAAGAGGATAAAGAGGGGCGCATTGATGACCCTTGCTCCCTCAGGAACCTGACGATCAGGACGTGCTTCCCATACTTCTGCATATGATGTTTGTATCATATTGAGGGTGAAGGAACAGCCTACTCCAACCCAACTTGCAGGAAAGAGAGCACTAAAATGACCGAACGCTCTCAGGATCTCCTCACGGATAGAAGACTTACTCAACGAATAGGTTCCACTTCTAACTTAGCGAAGCACAACTGCCTTATCTTAAGGGGGTGCTTGCAGAAGTGATGGTCACTACCACATATCCTTGTGGTAGCCACCTGAACCTCCCCGTCCAGTTCTTTGAACATGGGTGCCATCATGCCCCGTCCCTGAAATGTATTCAGGGGAAGTCAGGAAGGCTGTTGAGGGAACTAGATCTGGTTGGGCCAATGAGGGGCAACTATCAAGACCTGTTCCACTCCTGACTTAGCACAGTAGGTGCAAGCGACATGCACGCACAAGACAGGAGCACTGCTCAACACTAGATGTGATAATTCACTGAGCTTCAGGAGCATTTCTGCTCAGCACCTGAGTGTGATGAAATTCACTGAGCTTCAGGAGCATTTCTGCTTAACACCTGAGTGTGATGAACATCACTGAACTTGAACAGCACCAAGCGATAATGAATCGCATAGCCGCTTTTTTAGAAGGCTCACCGGGGAACGCATTTCTGCGGGGCCCCGGGGTCAGCTGAGAGCCAGTGTCTATCCAAGGGATGTCCGCTCAGACAGAAACACAACTGGCAGAGGGACGAGTCCGGAGGGGCAACAGATGTAACTGTGTGGCCCCGAAGTGGTCCCTGCCCAGCTTGACCGCCAGGGGATGGAGTCTCCACTCTCCCTGGCCATAGCTGTCGTGAGGCTCGTTGCCGGTACGATTGAGCAGGCGGAAGAATTTTATAGTGGAATGAACGACCTCAGAAGCTTCTGACTCCAAGGAGGAGGTGACGGGCGAGTTGTGACATGCGAGGGAAGCTTAGCGCAACGGTCGCAATGTTGTCTTTTCAGACCAGTACCAGCTCGCTGAGCAGCGGTGGCTCAAAGCGAGGTGAACTGCCAACTCGAGGTAACGAATGCCAATGCAGTCGGAGGTCACCCAGGCCTCCGTTAAAGCATGGCCTTTGTACATGGCCCCTTAGTCGATGTTAGTGGACCTGAAGGTCTGAACACGGGCTTAGAGTTTGGCGGCAGGCTGGGGTGATCTTTTATCACACAGGGCGTGCCGCTCTGCCACGGTCACCTCGGGACTCGATCATAAAACTACTGCTGAAGCGGTCTTCATATGGAGGAAGCCAAGCGGCAGCGTCTGCCATATGCCCCAGGAGCCTCTGAAATTTTCAGTGGGACCCTTTCTCACTTCTAGCACTAGCCTAACACACTCTTCTTGAAGAGAATTGTTGGACCGAGTCCTTCTCCTGAACTGAAAAAGAGATACTCAGCCCGTGGGCGAGATTACTCTCTCCCAGTTGACCTGAAGACCCAACTGGCTATGGAGCACTCTAAGGGTAGGACTTGTACTGATACTTCATACCCTCGACGCCAGAACACAGAATGGTCTGTGGAGCGGAAGGATAGAGATCTGAAGTACTGTCCTTCAGGTCGAATGCTGCAGGCCAACCTTGGGGACGGAGCATTTGAAAATTCATTCATTCATTCATTCATTCATAACCCACCACATATCTAGGGTACAATGAAGTACGGGTTTATAGAAACCGGTCTTCATATTGGCTGGAGGAGAGGCTACATCGCGTCCTTCGCTAGTAGGACTGCGATGTGCACACACAGGACAGGAGCAGCGCTCAACACATAGGTGTGATAAATATCACTAATCTTAGGAGCATCTCTGCTCAACACCTAGGTGTGATGAATATCACTGAGCCAGGGCGAAGCAAAGCGAAATGAATCGCAAGTCGATTCTGCTGGTAGTTTCGGGGCCAGCTGGAGTGGTAGGAAGCATCTTCAGGCTCACACACACTGTGCCAGGGGCCAGGGAACCACAGACGTACCTGAGGTGGGGCAGCGATGTGGAGGACAGGGACCCAGCTCGGAAGGCCCGGAGGCGGCCCGAAGCAGGGTCTGAGTGTGGTGTACGACACTTACCTGTCTCCACGAGATGGCCAGGGATGCGTGAGAAGATGGATGACCGGGTCCTCGAACCGCACCCAGCTGCCGTGCTGGCGAACAAGAGGGGGCTGAGGGGTGCAAGGCTTACAGTGTCGCACACCGCCAGACTCGCCCTCTTGGGACCCAGGAACAGAGGAATTTGCTCTTTCTTTGGAGTGTGGGTACCGCTTGCTCTGCTTCTTTTGGGAGCAGCGGAGGAACAAACACACACACAAACAAAGACTCCACCTGGCCCTCACCCGGGGTGAGGGAGTGGATCGATGACCAACTCCAAGAGCATCCTCCTCCATCCCTGAGCGGCCCGCTCCAAAATGCTTTCGCTGTGGCTTGCCACCTGGCTTGGCAGCGCCTGGAGCGCTCCCAGAGGGAGATAACACAGCTGAGTCGTCATCTCCAGAGGCCAGCTCACCCTCCGATGCTGCTATCGACATCTTATCCTCTGGAGGAACCCCAATTGAAACGGCTGATCGGTCCATTACAGAGGGACCAGCACGTTCAACAGGAATTCCATCGGCTGCGGTGTGATGGAGGAGTGAGGAGCCCACAGGGAATGGTTACTGGGCGAGACCTCCATCACTATCCTCCGTTCACCCATCCCACACGGCACCCAGGGGTGGGGCATGGTAATGGGGACTCTTGCTTCGCGGACGAAGGCGAGTCTCGGTCTCAACACCGCGACAGTCAAATTCCCGCAATGGGAACATGAACCGCCCACAAAAGCTGCTTCAGCGTGCTGTAAGCCCAAACACGTGATGCAACAATTGTGACCGTCAGAGAGGAAAAGGGAACGACCGCATCCAGAAACGCACTCAAACGCACCCGTGTTGCTCTTTCAGGAAATAGGACCCATCACCAGTGCCGGAGCACACAGGGGAATGACTGTGGCAACACTGAACAGGGAACTGAAACAGTGAAGCACTCACTTTTCCGCCCTCTAACCAGCCGTCAACACACACAAACCTTTAGAAATTTGTTGCTGTTAAAACAGTAGTTGAGAGCTCAAAGCTCGCGATCACCGCTGCACTCGCGCTGTAGAAACCACCAGCACTGGGAGAGTCTTCCAGAAGAACACCGACACAATCGCTCGTTGTAAACAACAGCACTCTTCAGAGACATCAAACGATCGGCTCCGAAGCGAAAGACAACTAGTGCGTGCATCCACTTCCGTATTTATTCCCGCGCCGCAGGGGCGGAGTGTGTAATGCATTTCATGCACGCCAATTACATTGGCTCGTTTTAACAGTACTCGAAGATGACAGGCTCTCTAAGCGTGATCCCAATCAGTCGACACGTCGACTACGTCGAAATTGAGCGACTGAAAGGGAACTTTAATTACAGTTTCAGTAATAAACACACAAGTAGCTGAGCAGAGCAAAACTAAACACTTCATTCAAAACTTTACCATAATTTAACAAAACCCAATTTTGACAGCGTAAGGCACACACATGGTGCATACAATCTGATTCTATTTGAACCACTTACACACTGCTGTGTTAAATCTTAAAGACTTGTGACATTTTCATTTTTTCAGAGATATTGTTGAGTTACATGAATATATTGATCTAACACAACACCAATACTGCACTTTGAGGAAAATATTTCTCTCCACATTGTAAAATCTGTCAAAAGTCAATTTTGCACTGAAAAATCAGAACATATTCTACATAAGATTACATAAATAACAAAAACATTTGTGGAGACAAAAACCTAACCATCATCTCTTCGCCTAGCTGGTTCTGGCCATAGCACTTTGTCCACATCACAGGCTACAGTATGTCCTCTCTCACAAGACTTGAAGACTTGAATGACGTTGCATCCTTGCATCAATTGGGTATAAAAAAAACTCCTCAATGGTGTTAAGGAAGGGAGAGAATGGTGGGAGGTCTTGGAGTAAAAATTGTGGATGCTCGTGAAACCAGTTTTGGACCAAAGCAAATGGGTGGAAAAATACATTGTCCTAAATGAAAATGTATCTCATCTGCTCTTCATTCATTTGGTCTTCTGCTGTAACAATGTTGTGTAGTCTATCTAAAATGTGAGTATGTGGGCTGTGTTGTCAGGACCTAAAGTTGGCATGCAGGTGGAGAATCCCATTCTGTGTGATTGCATCACACATTGTGATGTTACCACCACGTTGGCCCGGGACATTCAAAATTGCTCTGTGGTCAAATATGTTTCTCCCTTCTTTTGTCAGGTTAAACCCAGCCTAATTTATTAAGATAAATTCATGTGGGATTTGATCAGCATCAATTAACAAAACTCTGAAAAAAAGACAACATTGTGTAGTTCAATATAGGCCTGTAAAAAGGTTCTATGTGCAGTGCACTATACTGAAGTGTACATTACTTACCTCCACATATTCATGCCTCAGGTCTTTTACCCTTTCAGAATTTCTTTCAAATGGCATTAGGTAGAGTTGTTTCATCTGTATGTGATGCTTTTTAAGAATTCACCCCAGTGTTGATAGAGACCTGATGGACATTATTGAAAACTGTGTGGACAATGAGGACGTTTGTTTGATTTTCTCTGAGCCGTATCACATTATTGTCCAAAACCATGTTTTGGCGTATCTCTTTTTCCTGTGAATATGGGGCCCCTTTCTCCTTCACGTTCTCAACCCTCAATTCTGTGTAGAACAAAATAGATTTAAAATGTCACAGGACAGCGCACAAATATGGAATGGGTAATAAAAAGTACTGATGGAGGTCATAAAGTAGGCTACATTGTACTGATTGTACTGTAGACAGTAGAGAAAAGTTCTTGTTTTTTTAACCTTGTGCTCTTGTCGAAATATCAGATTTATTGTAGCAACATTGTATCTGCTGAGGTTGGACGGAACTCTCTGTCCACCCTCTCTCAATGTCAACCAATGGTTTACAACATGGTCGACCAAGGTTGCTTGAATTGCATCTGGTAAATGTGATCCTCTTTTTTTTTACCACATCTTCCTCCAGGTGACCAGGTCAGTCTCTTCCTCTCATCCTCCCTCTCCTTCTTCCTCTTACTGCAACATTGCCTTCCATTTTTGTTGAAGACAGTTAAACTCACCTTTTGATAATGCTTACCTGATGGTTGAGTTTACAATTAAGCACCTAAGTGTATGCACATTTGATGGCCGTGTTTGAACAATTGGTTCATAAGTGTGGGATTTTGGAAATTTTGAAATGGCAAAGAAGTGACATCATGTTGGATTTCTGTGTCTAATGTAGAGAAGTGTGTGTAGTAATTTGCAAAACATGTGAGCCTTGTGCAGATCTGGGCTGAGGTTTTGCTCCTTGAATGTCAGGTTTCACTAACTTTATTATTTTTCACTAACTTTATTATTGTTATTTTTAAATTGTGTGTGTAAGCATGCAATCGTAAAAAAATATATATATATTTGAAATTTTCTGACAGTAGGATAAGGAGGTTTTATTGCAGTGTACAAACAAAAGATTGTCCTTTTTAAAAGAAAATGTAATTTTTTATATGATGAAGACTTTTACATTTTTAAGTTAGAAGTAAGAAGGAAAAATACACTTTTGAAGGTACCTCAGAAGATAATGAAGTGCTACTTGTCATACCGTGTAAATACTGTTCAGCGTTCTGACACTAGAAGAGTTCATCTCAGTAAAAAAAAAGTAAATATCAAAATAAGTTGTTTACATTTGATATAATCATAATCGAGTGTTTTCTGTGTGGTCTGTCTTTTAGTTTATTTGGACATGTTGATTAAAGGGAAAGTTCACACAAAAATGAAAATGCTGTCATAATTTACTGTTGTTTCATGTTCTTCCAAACCTTTATTACTTTCTTTCTTCTGTGGAACACAAAATAATATATTTTGAACATTGGAAACATTTATCACATCAGTTAATAATAAACATCAGTTGGAGTTTGGGCCTTTCAGGAGGGCCTATTAATTATTGAGCAATTTTTATGCTATGGTCCAAGTGCTTTTTTTAAAATTAAGCTTTAACATAGAAACTGACAATTTACTAAGACAGATGTTTCTTATTGTTTTCCTTCTCGAATTATTTTTTTAAACAATATCCCCATGCTGTTAGTCTTTTGTAATAACCATTTTCATCCACCCTTTCATCATTTTGGTGGGAAAACAATAGCACATGAGCAAGTGGGAAAACAATAGCACATGAGCAAGTGTTAACAATGGATGAATTATATGATGTTCTGTCATATTAGATGTGTTATCTCACAAGATGTTTACAACATTAACTTGAGCCTCATATAAGCTAACTGTCAATTCTTCACTGAGCACTGACTAACCTCAGGTCATTACTTCAGCCTGTTCATGTTCTATAAATCAAATTTCAATTCATAAGAACGTATTTGTAACGTTACTGTTGGAGAGGCTTTGGACTGTTAGGTTTGGATTAGGTGATGGATGAGTAAACCCTTCTGGGTGCCGGTAAGAGCACAAATAATGAGGAGACAGGTGATCAGATTAACTTGGTGTATTGTAGGTAGATGGATGGATCACAACTGTATATTCAATGATGTACATAGTCTGGAAAATAAGTACAATAAAGAGAATGAATAAACTAAATACAATAATAAGCATTCACTGTTAAATAATTAAATAATTATCCTCAATACTCATCATTGACATTTTTCTACTTAACATCCAGTTGAATAAACAGAAACATGGTATTAAACAGGAAAATACACACTATAAGGGCAATTTGTCCTCAATAACATACAATGCCCATATATGGGTAACCGCATGGCTCATATGCATTACATACAAACAGACATGACGCTGATCGTCTAGTATTGGAACATATTAACAGACCGACTAACATCCCCTCATTAATAACCCATAACATTGATATGGCGCTTAATAAAGAATGAATCGTCACACTCAAGTAATAGCCTATTACTAAATACTAGCATATTACTGATCTGGATAACACAGAACGATCTATACAGGACATGTCCGGACATGCACTTATGTCACGGACGCTTAACTCTATTCAGATCAAGTTACACAACTGAAAATCAACATAAATATAATCAAATTGACTTACTTTAAGGGCAATGACTAACATCATAATATTACAGTTGCACCAATCACCCCGAACGAACAGGAATCAGCAACTTTACAGCTGACAGCTCTCACAGATCACCTACACACAGCAGATAGCGGCAGTTGCACTGACGACTGTACACTGTTCTGCATGTTACCATGACTACGGTTTCAGAATAAAAGTCCCGACTAAATGCGGTCTCAGAATAAAAGTCCCGACTGAATGAGCCTTTAATACAGCCGCCCCCAAAGATGTGGAGCATCTTTGCTGCCATGAAAGGCGACTTCACTTATCAGGGGCTAGCAGCATCGGGACAATCCTTAGGTAAGGCTGGCAGGATGACTAGGCGGGCTACCGGTCTGGTGTAAACTTGGCCCTTTATCTGAACGTCCGCTGAACGGATATGACCATCCGGACTTAGGTGAGTCTTGATAACTTGTCCCACAGGCCATAAACCACGAGGTAATTGGGGGTCTACAACTAAAACAAATGTTTTCTCCTTCAAGTCAGGGGGAGAGGCTTGCCATTTCTGGCGAGTTTGAAGGCTGGGAAGATAGTCCCTAATGAACCTTGACCAGAATCGGTCCGCTAGGATCTGGGAATGTCGCCAGCGCCGGCGACTTAGCATCTCTGATTCTGGGTAAATGACTTGAGGCAGAGATCCATCCGGCCGCCCCATGAGGAAACTATTTGGCGTCACTGGGTCAGCATCTGCAATATCGGACGACACATAACCCAAGGGTTTTGAATTCAGGATGGCCTCCACTTCCAGCAAGACGGTCATCAACACTTCCTCGGGAACTGACTCTGAATCCAAAACTGTGTACAAGGCTGACTTAACAGATCTCACCTCCCGTTCCCAGACTCCACCGAAGTGGGGGGCCGATGGGGGATTGAAATGGAAATGGATCTTCTGACGAGCAAGCTGATGCTGTATATCAGGAACTAATGCGGCATAAGCTTCCCGTAACTCCCTTTCACCCCCGCGGAAGTTCGTACCTTGATCTGACCATAACTCAGCCGGTGTCCCTCTCCTCGAGACAAACCTTCTAAGAGCCATGAGGAAGGAGTCAGTACTCATGCTTGGAAGTAGGTCTAAATGGACTGCTCTCGTGGTCAAACATTTAAACAGAATACCCCAACGCTTCTCTGTACGTCTTCCGAGTCTGACCAGCAATGGTCCAAAACAGTCCATTCCACAAGAATGGAAGGCAGGCTTGTAGAGCCGAAGACGAGCAGAGGGTAAATCTGCCATCTTAGGGATTGTCGGTTGGGCCCTCCACCGTTGACATTCCGGACACTCATGTTGAAACCGTCGCACAGCTTCGCGGCCACGAAGAATCCAGTAATATCTCCGTAGTTCGGCAAACAGCCGTTCAGATCCAGAATGATGTAACTTCTGGTCATAATGATGTATGATCAAACGGGTGACTGGGTGATAAGGGTCCAAAACCAGAGGATGTAAAACAGAGTCCTCAATGCCTGCAACTCTCCTCAGACGACCTCCTACCCTGATAAGACCACTGGACGGATCCATTTCCGGGGCTAAGGTGATTAGACGACTTTTGGACCTGACTGACTTCCCACTCTCTAACAATTTATAGTCCTCAGGAAATGATTCCTGCTGCACCCGTCTGAGAATTTGGAGCTCAGCCTGATGGTAATCCTCAGCCTGGGGAGAAGTCCCAGGAGAAATGGTAGTTCGAAGTTCTTGGGCTGTCACGTCCAATAGTTCCTGCCAGGTATGGTAGTTCCACCCATCAGTATTGCCAGAAGAAGGAGGGCAGGTACTGATCCCACAGAAGGCCGATTTCCGCAGTTCAACCTTGTCTGCCATGGTCTCAGTCGTAGGTAATACTGGCCAATCCTTGGGATCCTGGAGGAGGAAGGAGGGTCCTTGAGACCATCGGTTGGATGCAGCGAGGTATTGAAGAGGTTTCCCTTTCGTGAGGTCATCAGCCGGATTGTCTGCAGAACTTACATAATGCCATGAACACTTATCCGTCAACTCCTGGATCTCAGCAATTCTGTTTCCGACAAAGACTCTGTATCGACAGGACTCCGAATTCAACCACTGAAGGACCGTGGTAGAGTCTGTCCACAGGGAAATAGACTTGATGGGTAGGGTCAACTCTTTCTCCAGTAACTTAGCCAACTGTGCTGCGACTAGACTTCCGCAGAGTTCCAGTCTTGGAATAGAGTGAGCTCGTCTAGGAGTGACACGCGAGCGTGCGATGATAAAGGACAGGTAGGTCCGACCTTCCTGGTCGGTAGTCCGGAGGTAAGCCACCGCTCCGTATGCCTGCTCAGAAGCATCCGAGAAGACATGTACCTCATGAGTAGCTATACTCATTTCAACTTCAGGAGGGAGATATGGCCGGGAAAACGTGATACCAGGGAGGTATTGGAGTTCCTCTTCCCAACTATTCCAAGACCGGAGGAGCTCAGGTGGTAAGTTGGGGTCATCCCACCCTCTCTGTTTGTTCCACAGTTGCTTAATGATCACTTTCGCTCGAGTCGTAAAAGGTAGAAGCCAGCCAAGAGGGTCGTATTGGGAAGCTAGGACCTTATAGATATTCCTCAATGTAAGAGTGTTATATACCACAGGTCGGTGCTTGTACGACAAAGTGTCCGTCTGCCAGTTCCAGCTCAGGCCTAGCGTTGATTCAGGGATATCTGACTTCTCCTGCGTCAACCACAGTTCCACACTCACAGCTCGGGCATTGGTTGGTAGGTGACTCACCACACCAGGAGCATTGCAGGCCCACTGGCGAATGTCAAATCCAGCTCCAGAGAGGATATTCCGTAGTCGATCAATCAAACTTCGCGCTGCTTCAACAGTAGGCAGGCTCTGCAGGCAATTATCGACATAGAAACATCTCTCCACCGAAAACCGAATCGTTTCATCAGTCTGAGGATGTTGCTGTACATGGCGTTGTAGTGCGTAGGTTGCACAGCATGGACTGGAGGTCGTGCCAAAGGGTAGTACCTGCCACTCAAGAATCCTAGGTGCCTCATCCATCTTCAGGTCCCGCCAAAGGAAGCGGAGTAGAGGACGATCCCCAGGTAAAAGGCGAACCTGGTGAAACATCGCCTTGATGTCCCCACTCACTGCCACAGGATGTTCTCTGAAGCGGATAAGAACACCCAATAGCGAGGCCCCAAGGGTGGGCCCTGGCAACAGGTACTGATTGAGGCTTTGTCCTTGATACTGATGGGAGCAGTTAAAGACAATGCGGCACTTTCCATTGTGACTAACAATGTGGTGAGGGATGTACCAGCATTCAGCCGAATCAGGTAAGGGGTCAGTCGCTTCCCGAACAGCTCCTGTCTCAACTAATTTCCTCATTTCCTCTTTATAGACCTCAGCTTTGGTGGGGTCCTTCAGCAGACGCCTCTCTACACTACGAAGGGTAGGTAGGACTGACTCCTTAGGTGCATTCAAACAAGGCATATCCTTACGCCGCAGTAAAGGCGTAGCTAACCGATTGATGCCCTCCACAGGGTGAGTGCGGGTTTCCATCTCAAGCAGCTGAAGAGCCTCATGATCTTGCTTGGACCGGGTTACATCTTTACTCTCCCACTGCGGACCCACATCCAACTGCCACAGGCGTTGAACATTCTGGAAGAGTTCGTCCTGAATTGGATCCATGGATGTTAACAGGCATTGCCGTGCTGCATGAGGCCGCCCCATGAAAGGAATGGGGCCCTGGAGCGTCCATCCTAGGCGTGTATGAACTGCAGCTGGCGCACCCGGGCCGCCCCAATGAACAGGCTCTGTCGGAATTATGAGATGGGGCTGATCGGAACCGATGAGAAGTAAAGGCTGGACTTCATTAAGTGTACTGATTGGAAGACCCCGCAGATGCCTGTACTTCTGTCGTAGCTGTTCTACTGGGTAAGACTGGCGGGATAGGTTAAGACGATCTGCTGTGAAGGCATGATTGATCTTATAACTGGTTTGGGGTTTACAGATGGAAGAGATCCGAAAGGATATGGAAGAGCCATGAAGGACCTGAATATCGTCTCTCACCGTCCGCAAAGGCAGATCCTCAGGGACACCCTTGATGCCCAAGGCCTTAACTGCAGTGGAGAGCAGAATAGTCCTCTCCGAGCCATCGTCAAGAAGAGCGAAGGTGTCAAGGGTGCGATCTTCATAATGTAAATTTACAGGAACCACTTTGAGCATGACTCGACCTCCGACAGAGGGTTTATCCAGGAAGAGTCGATCCGGAGAGGAATTCGTCAGGCAGCTCTTTTCCACTTGAGCCGAATCCTCCCTCGGGGATAGACCAACATTCACCTCATGAAGAGGGCGGAGATGTGTGCCTTGGCATAGGTTGCAGGGTTTCTTAAGGTCACATTGAGCAGCATGGTGTGCCCTAGCGCATCGCCAGCAACGGTTGTTACTCCGAATCCATGTCCTGACCTGGTCAGAGTTAAGCTTACTGAAGGATGCACACTGGCTTAGATAATGCTCAGTCTGATCACAGAATGGACAATACCGTTTCACTTTAGAAGGTTTAGTTTGTGAAACGGGACCCTTGCGAGAGATGGGAGTCTCAACTGGGGGTTCTTTAACCCCATGCAGGATGGTCACAGTTCTCTTTCCAGAGTCTTGCTTAGCGTGAAAGACTTTAGACATCGGCTCGGCATCGTAGCTGTGGCACCATGTTTCGTAACGGAGCCAGTTCGAAAGGTCAACTAGATTAGGGGTCATGCCAGGTTGGTGGAACATATGGCGACGGAAGTCAGCACGCAGCTCAGGTGGAAGCTTACTAAGAAGTCGCGCAACATGGGACCCACAACTTAGCTCCAGTTCACCATCGCGTCCCAAGGTTCTCAGTAGTCCCACTAGTGACTGTACCTGGAGAGCGAACCTCTGGAAGGCAGATATATCACCTCGCTTGATGTCAGGACTCTCAAGAACAACAGCGATCCTCCTTAAGGCAAGTTGATGCGGTTGACCAAACTTCTCATGAAGTGCAGTCATTGTATCAGTGAATGGGGTAAGGGAGTTCAGATAAGCGTCCGCTATCATTCTAGCCTCCTCAAGCTTGAGATGATCCACTAAGATCTGGTATTTGAAAAGTTCTGTCCCGTCAGGAGG